AGGAGCTTGTGACTGTTTATATGTAGTCTAGACTGATGCTACACTCAATACTTGTGTGTGTGTCCTGGTGTTAGCATTGTGTTAGCATTGTGTGACTTTTATGCCTAAAAAAGATTCAACAGGGTGATCAAAAGTGACCAATAAGAAGTCTGTTTTGCAGCTTCACTGATTGTTGAATCCGTTTTGGTGTAGATGATTACAAAGATTTACATGTTCTGTAAAGCATCTGTTCTCACTTTCTGTGTGTGAGTGAGTAAGTTAGTTTATGTAGTCATTTATTGCAATAATGAAACCTGAAACACACCGCTCACTGGTTTAAAGATCGATGATAATAACGTTTCCTGTCTTACAGCACAGCGCAGATTACAATGAAAACTGTGGCAGGTTAACCACTTGAAATTATTTTTGACTTTTAAACAATGTGTCCTGATCTCAAACAGAAAGTGGGGAAATAGCTACACAGATGTGGCTGTGAACAAAACCTTTTACCCTACAAACATTTGTACTTATGCTATACTTTAATAAGAGCATCAACTATAAAGTTGAATGTAGCATAAGGTCATTCTTTACCGTACAAATAATACACTCAGTAAATAATGCACATAGTTAAGCCTCAGCAATATTTGAGAAAATGGGATTTTAGTTGTTTTTCTCAGGGCATTTAATCCTAGTAGTTGTTAATCCTTATTTGTCCATTAATATCCATGGTATTGTTTACTGTAATGGAGATGTCACATATAATGAGTCTTTCTGTAACGCAGTGTGGAGTAAACATCTACTGTATTTGCATCTTTCTGTGTGCAGAATTCAGTACAAATGTATACTTGTACAAATTCACATTTTTAAATTCCTACGTACAGCCAAAGAAATATGATTTGTATACAGAAGACCTACTATATAGCTATTAAACTATAGGTTCCAAAACAGTGTGTCAGCTCACCTTTGCCATCTCTTTAACATTTTAGCAACAATTACCATCGTCTTCTTTCTGATTTAAAATATATTCAACATCTCTTGTTAAAAGTTCAGTGCTGGCAGAGAGTTAGTAACTGTTTGACATCAAGTTCAGAGTTCAGTGTCCGTGAGATATTCTACCCACGCACATTTAAAATGTATTGGTCAAATTCCTCCTATAAAAAGGGCCTCCATCCAAGTCACTGTTCATTGTTCAGTTAAGGCGATATTTGAAGTCTTTGATATGTTGGTCAACATTTTACGAAAAGACGTCTTGAGGGTGGATTTGAAAAGGTATTTTGTGCTGCCACAGGATCCAGCTACCTGCTCAGTGCCGACAGAGTAAAAGCCTTCATTCTGCGATCAGAGGAGTCTTTCCCCTTTTCCTGCCTCTTTGCCCCGCTCTGTTCTTATTCCAGCTTTACCAACGTCAAACCTTCTACTTTCTCTCCCACAGGCTCAATAAAAGGAGGTTTCTTTTTTTCATTGGTACACCTCCTCACCAAATAACAAATCCCCTTTATAAGCATATGGTATAACTTCCAGTGACTTCAGACACCATTAAATACTGTTAAGCACCATTATGTAAAAAAAGACACAATGAGGTATGTGTTCGTGCGTGTGTGTGTGTGTGTTTGTGGTAGGGGGTTGTTGCTGCTGAACCACACATGTCGAGGAATGCAACTGAACAAGTGTGTGTGTGTGTGTGTGTGTGTGTGTGTGTGTGTGTGTGTGTGTGTGTGTGTGTGTGTGTGTGTGTGTGTGTGTGTGTGTGTGTGTGTGTGTGTGTGTGTGGTGTGTGTGTGTGTGTGTGTGTGTGTGTGTGTGTGTGTGTGTGTGTGGTGTGTGTGTGTGTGTGTGTGTGTGTGTGTGTGTGTGGTGTGTGTGTGTGTGTGTGTGTGTGTGTGTGTGTGTGTGTGTGTGTAGTGTGTGTGTGTGTGTGTGTGTGTGTGTGTGTGTGTGTGTGTGTGTGTGTGTGTGTGTGTGTGTGTGTGTGTGTGTGTGTGTGTGTGTGTGTGTGGACGACACATCTGAACACCTCTGAAGAAAAAATAGCCTCATTTTGAAAATGTGTTCGAGTTGAGCACAGTTTAATAATCCGTGTTTTTTTATTGAATGGTTTTCAAACTGCATAAAGGAAGTAGCTTTTTTACTGGTTGGTTGAACAACTTTTCTCTGGTGATACATTGAGACATCTAAATCACAACTACTGAAACAGCAAGCTTCTGTTTCTACCCTCAGTGGAGACTAAGAGTCATACTGAAAAAGATTGAGTTGCATCTGTATGGGCATGATCTCACTTTTTTCTTAAGCACGAGACAGAAAAATGGAAACTAAAATCCGACAGATGGGTGATGGCAGCCTTTCATTTGGATCTTTTGGTTTTGATTTATGTAACTGCTGCTTTCAAACGGTATAAGGCCTATCCTCTCCGAGTTGTTATTGTGCTATTGAGGTTATTGTGCAGAGTTGGCCGTGTTGGTGCTGTAATGGAATAGAAACACGACCCATGGGAACGCACACACATTCACACACTTCCACTGTAATGATCACACCGACTCCACCCCATTTATTTTCCCCTCCGCTGGAAACAGCCAAGCTTTATTTCTGGGCGCAGTGAGGCTGCTGGTCCATGAGTGTACATTTGCTCCATTCAAAATGTCATTGTAAAGGTTAACCAAAGACAAATCAACCACTAAATATGTTTGCGTAATAGCTGCATTTGATTGATTGAGTGTTTTCAATTGAGTCAGGTAATAAAGTGGACTGTAAATCACAGAGACTAAGCTGTTGGTGAACCTCTCATCTCATTCCTCATTAGCAATAGAAATAATCGTTTCATTATTAATTAATTGATTAATCATTTAAAATATGATAAAGGGTTTATTGCCAAGGGTGATAGTTGATGTCTTCAAACTGCCAGTTGATGTATTTAGCCGATAAGATTGTATCATGCATTAATTATATTCCCAACAACCACTGTGTTTGTATTGTTTCATTCTTTTTTATAAAGCTTATCACATCTTTATATCAAATCTTTTAAGAAGCACATTCTTGTTCACTGACCATTTTGTTGTGTTGCTTCTGTTGGCCGCTATCTTACAATTAAATAGTACATTTGAAAACAGGAGTCTAAAAATATGCTTACTTGCTGAACATTTTTGTTTGTCGATCCTTTCCAAAGTCTGTCAGAAGTGCTGGATTATCACTGGCACAGACAGACATTTGGGGGATTTAATGTATGTGCTGTTCCTTTGCAGCTTCATCATGCTCTGCAGCACAGAAGATGAGGCAGACAGTGTGCGTGTCATCTTCGTACTTTGATAAATATATCTCAAATTTGAAAGCTTTGTTACACTTGCTGCCTTTTTTGTTGCCGTTTGCCTCTTTTCTATATTAAATCCTAAATGTGTCACATAGAAGTATGGCTCCTTAGAAACATCACCAGACAAGGTTTTCATCATCTGCAGCAGAATGAATATTTTCAGTCCATTGAATTCAGTGGTATAGCACTTTTATCAAATGGATTTTCCGCCCTTTAATCTATGCGGGTTATTCTATGCTGCAATTGGATCAAATCTTCTTTGAAGGTCCATCCAGGACACTCTCACATCACCCGCGTCTCCTGCTCTTGCTTTGTGTCAGCCTGTCATCTCTCGTCTGCAGGTTGGCGTTAGGCTTGCTACACACAGTCTCACAGGGGTCAATAGTGCTTCTTCCAAGAATAGTTCACTTTTTGGATTACAAACGCCACCAGCCATATGCCAATTAAACGCGGCTAGTACAGTAGGATATGCCAATTAAACATCCAGGGCATACCAAAGATCCAGAACATTTGGGACAAGGAAAGCATACTGCTTTATCTCTGCGTCTCTATTTCTGTCTTTCACTGAAACATGTGTCATGTCTTCCTCTCTTTTCTTCTACCCTTATAGACCTAAAAACACGATGAATTTCAAATCAAGCCCCCAGTGATTGAGCTTATTTATGTTTTGCTGACATCAAAATAGGCTTTCTGAGGTACTTGGCATAAGCTGTGATGGTTTTATCAGGACATGTTGGAGGCTGTGGGGGTTAGATGGCTCAGTGTTTATGAGATGATAACTTTTTTTGATGCTGCCTGTCTGTAGCAACGGAGACGAGGTGTGAATCATCAGTGCAGTTAACAGCATGAATACATTACAGCATGCCTAATATTAAGAAATTAACTAAAGCTATGTCTGCTTTGAGTATACGCATTTTGACTTTGCTGTTGTTTAAAATTGACAGCAGAGAGCCAACTGGGCCAGTTTACGGGCATTAGAAGGTAATAATGTGATCAAGTGAGTTTTCCTGCTGTCAGTGCAACAAGCACGCATCATTTTATTTGCATACTTTTAAATGACAGAATAACTACATGTGCAAAATGTTATATTCAAATCTAACTTGTGGACTACACTAATGCAAACCTAATACAGCTATTGAAGTCTCATAGTCTAAAATAAAGTCATACCGACAATTCCCTAGGCATTTCCATGCTACACTTGCATATCTTTAGTTAATGCATCAGTTATGCACTGAGATATTGCTGAGAGAACTCTGCCCCATGACTGTCTTTAATACTTGCCAAATGCCTCCGAGGTACCATCATTAAACAGTTTCTCTTTCTGTTGTTTACCTAAACATCCTCACATCCTCCCTTTGACAGACACAAACTCTCTTCAAAGCAGTGAGCCTCGTAACAGCAGTTTGTCTGTTGCCTTTGATATAATAAAAGGGGTCGCATAAAAAGATGGCTTTCACAGTCACACATTCGGGATATTCTACTCGGATTTAAATAAACATCTGCGTTAACACAATTCATATGTAAAGAGACTGCCGTGTTCAGAGCAGTTGAGCAGTACAGCATTCCACTTCAATGTAATGAGTGTTTTTGCACTGTGAAATTCGTAAGTAATCTGTGTCAATATTTTGCCAGTTAATGTGATAAAAATGAAGCCCCCATAGCACCTTGTTCACGATGTCTGACTGTATACTGGAAACCTCTTTCTTCCTTTTCTGCCCAGTGAAGTACATGCGTGAGGCCACGCCGTACGTCAAAAAGGGCTCCCCTGTGTCGGAGATCGGCTGGGAAACCCCCCCTCCTGAGTCTCCTCGCCTCGGCAGCCACTCCCTCACCTCCTGCTCCCCCTTCGACCCCCCAAGCTCTCCCACCCAGCCTTCACTGTCCCTGCAGGGCGACAGAAGGTGCATACCACTCAGGATGTGTTGTGTAACCCGAGCCATGACCACACCTGACCCAGAGAACAGGTAGGTGATATACACACACACACACACACACACACACACACACACACACACACACACACACACACACACACACACACACACACACACACACACACACACACACCACACACACACACACACACACACACACACACACACACACACACACAGAGACCATAAAGATGCCTGGATCCTCATTCTTTTGCTGAAGGCAGGTCACTGGAGATACTGCATTTTTCAGACTCCTGAATATGATCTGCCTGCTGCTCTTCTGCTTTTAATTCACAGACTAACGACTAGTTCATCGATTAACTCACATAGTTCAGTCACGTGTAAGTGTAATCGTTTTTTAAAGATTTACATCTTCAGGAGGCACAAATGGGCTTGGGGCGGCATGACATAAACAGGATTATAATTTTTTGCTAAGTATTGACAGGGGGACAAACACAGATTGTTGCTGTTTGTATTGCATTTATGTATACTATTTAAAAAAAGAGAATATTGCTGGTCATGCTTTTTAAAAGAGCAATAGAAAACATTTGTGCTTTAACTTATTATTATGAAGTTTGTTGATTGATCAACGCAATGGGTTTAGAATAATCACACATCTGCGTTTATATTCCCTAAAGCATTGCTTTACAGTGAAATTCTGTCTGCTAATTCTGGGTCTAAAACGTCCTCTTCCAATAGAAGCCCAAGACTATCACTGCATACTAGCCTTTGCTAAAGGGCAAATTAATAAAAAAAAGCAGCAGACCAACCATAGTAATGTAACTGTTGTAACATTAACCTGGCTAAAGCCAAAATGATTAATAATATCAAGGGATATCCTTATCAATCTCCTATTTCACATGAAAATCAATAAACAGAAGATATATCATCACTGTCTCTGTTTTGAAATTCCAGTGGAAACAACCACGTTTTTGGTAAAAAGTGTAATCACCAAATATAAATTACATTTTATTTCCATTTTATGTTCACTACATTGATACAGGCTGCTGCAGTGAGAAAAGTCATGTGACATGTCTTGTGTGTGTTGTGGTGAACCCAAACTGCCTAAACTATCCCAGAGAGTTTGTGTCCATACTGTCACTTGCTATAAAGTTCAACTCTGAAACAACCAGAAGATGACTGTGAATGAACCAAAGGTTAACCAACCCTCCTCTGCTCCTTGACTCTACAGTCTGACAGACAGACAATAGGAAAGTCTTCCTCTGCGTCTTCAGCCCGCTTCTTCTTCAGTTTTTAGACAGACCTTTGAAGTGGCACTCTGATTATTCTCGGTCTATTAGGAGGTGTTGTCAAGTGAATTGGTTTGTAATATGACAATGGCCCAATCAAACAGCATGGGGGCAGAGAGAGATTTACTGTTTAAACATTGTTGGTGTCACACTGTATGAATGTGTGCTTTCTGTCCCAGATGTCTCTCTCTTACCGCGTTGTTTCCCTTCCCGTTTGTCTCAACATTGTCTCTCTTTCCTGTTTTATAACTCTTTCTCACTTGTTTGTGTTTTTCTGCCCCTTTTGTTGTCTCCCTTTTTGTTCTTTCATGATCCATCTTCTGTGTTCCCAGCTTTTCTGCAATCTATTCTCTCCTTCTACCGCATCTCCATCCTCTTGTCATTACCGTCTTGATTTGTTTTCTATTTCTCTCTTTGCGGTTCTCAGTTGTCTTTTCTGCATATGTATGATTTGAGAAGTATGAAATAGTTGAACCTCACTAAAGTTCAAAGCTTCAGACAACATCAAAGTCAAGTCATAAACGTGAATAGTGACTTCAAAGTCCCTCTGTCTGTGAAGACGTTGTTAGACAGCTCTACGCTGCATCTGTTAAATGTAAATGCTTATACACACACAAACAATCAGTTTGTGAAAAAATAAGAACAGAATAAACAGACAAGGCAGATGGTTCTCTGCTGACTGGATGTCCAGTATCATACAACTTTAATTTCCCTCAAAATAAAAAAACAAATCATAAGAAAAGGACATTATTAATTATTCTGAAATGCAGGTGTCACTTTTTCTTGCTTGGAATGTGTCCACTGTTTGTAGAGTGAGTGACAGAGATTGTGTCCATGAGCCATTGCCTGTGGCAGTATGAGCCCGCCCCCCCATGTCTCTTCAAAAATGCTCACACTGTGTAGATCACTTTTGAGGAATCACATTTTGTCTTTGAAGCAACAGTAAAGTATAATCTAATAGGTTTGTTATTGTCAATTAGATAATACAAATCTGCATGCAACTAGAACTCGGAGGTGATGAGCCTAGCTTAGCATGAAGTACATATCTGAAAAAACAAGAAAGTATAACTGTGTGAGTTAGTATATTTGAGATATTTATTTACCTATTAAACAGCGCATACAATGCAGGCCTTACCACCAATTACTTTTAAAGCCATTTAACTGCAGCAGACAAATATGCAATGTCATAATAATATTAATAATAATATAGTAAGAGTTTTGCTAGCCAAAGCAGTCTTTGGTCAGTCTTTTTCAACTGTTGTTCATCTTTAATATTATCATACTTTTTTTTGTTTTGTGAAAATGTGACTGAATCTTTGAGATATTACAGATTGTCTTTGGTTTTGAGAGGGCTCTAGTTTTCAAAGTATTCTGGTGTATGGTAGGCATTAGATAAATAAATGAAATAAATAAAAACAGATTTTCCATTACAAAAAACGAAATGTAATCCTACATTTCAAAATGCCGGAGCCTGTTTGGTAAGCATTCTGCTCCGATCTTGGTTTAAATATTAGACTTTTCACGAGCACTGTTGGGTTGAACATTCACTATGTTGGCCATAACTGTGACTTTATTGGTCATCCAGTTACACACAGAACTGGGGTCAATAACTCTTCTAGTGTTTTTTACTGTTCACAGATAACACAGTGTTTTAGTGGTTTGGTAAAGCTGGCCAGGTTTACCTTGACCAGCATGTTTTTTTATGAAGGTCCTTCCTTGTTTTTCACAGCCATGGAACATTCCACTTTGACTGAACCGTAAATATTTAGTGAATGTTTAGATGGGAGAAAACCTAATTTCAACCTAGCCTGTTATGCGTTATCCTTGAAACGCGTATTTATACTAAAAGTTAAAAGTTGGAAGATTCTTAGTATCATGGTGTTTATAGATAATGTAAGTCAGATAAAGATTGTCAGGTTAGAATCAAACCGATTCTTTGTTTTTCTTATTTTGGGATTCGAGCTAAAATAGGTTTAGGGGGCTTTTTGTTAAGTTTTGCTTATGTTATTATACTAGACTCCCCTTGAGGGTTGCTCTTCTCATTTCAGCATGTTGTTTAAACTTTGTGTAAGCCTGAAAGGACAAGCAGAAGAGAAAGATACAACGGAAGGCAGAGCACGTACAGTGATGAAACGAGATGATAAAAGACAAGGAAAATAAAAGTGAAACAGTATGGAGGAGAAAAGATAAGTGAAGATTTGATTGATTCATCTTTTTTTCTAGTTTGTAATACTCTGAAGACATCTTCCTCACCTTACTGTAACATTTACATTTTATAGGCAAATAAAGTATGATTTCCTGGGACATTGATTAAATACAAAAAAAGAGGATTATACTCCTATCCTTTACAGTTTGGATTAAAAATGTTAAGTGAAGGTGTGGAAACAGGGGACAAGAAAAAGAGAGGAGGGTGTGGGCAGGGAAAGGACAGACATTGAGAAAGAACAGAAAAGGCTAAGATGAGCAAAGAAAAGGGAAAGGAAAGCTTGTGTGGCTTTGTAAGAGGAGGAAATGAATCCTGGCAGAAACAGCACAGTTCCCGGTTTGACAGTTGTCTACAGTACCTTTGTTTAACCTTAAAGGGATGAAAATGTACACTCTTTTGGTGCATACCAGTGCAGGAAAATTGGCCTATACATACTTTCCTGGTACTACTGATCTCTTAAGTTGTCTCCAGCATTATTGCTTCAAAGCTGATATCCTGTTTGTATTCCATATCTCATCTCAAATGTCCACTGAAGAGGAGGTCAAACTGTTAGCCCTACCCATTTACGACCTTTCTTAACATCTCATCTGATTATTTTCATGCTGAAATGGAATTTTATAGCTCAGGTGTTTGGCAAAATATCTTTAAGACTAAGCGAAATAATGGAAGTGCAAAATCTGTGAAGGAGAACTACAGTATGCAGACAATTCAACAAGTGGCTTAGTCAAACATACAGATCTCCATTCTGAATCAGCAGCAGGGCCGAAGAGCTGCATTCAACAAAAGCATTGGATTGGAAAGACTCACTCAAGTGACAGCTAAATGTCCCAGGACAGTGCTGCCCAATCCTCAAACCACTAAAATAACTGGCCACATAGGGTGGTTCCCTTTACTGCAGCTTCACACTCTAATAACCCCGCGTCAGAGCTGTAGAGGCAGTCAAAAGCTTACATTCTGATCTGAGAGATCCACTGCAAACTTGCAATTTGTATATGAAAAATTTCCCTCAAGGACTTTACATTTTAGATATAATTTTCCAAGACTTAAAAACATCTCTACATGAAACCTACTGTATATGTGCTACAACTATTCATTGTTAATTATTATTTCGCCAAAGAAATATGAACTGGATTTATTGTGAATTCAAACCTTGTTTTTTTGTTATTTGGGTCATCTGTGACACACATTTATTATCGTGATTCAAATAGGCTTGTATTTTGTATGTTCAGTATTTCAACAGTGTTCTAAAATGTGTAACTGCTTTAAATTGGATATTTCGCCATTAAATTATTTAATTAATGCAACTGTTGTGTTCATACAAAGTTCATCAATTAATAATTCAAATAAAATGACTGCATGACTTGCATCCTTATGCTAGAAGTGACCTACCAAGCTGAATACATATTTGCTATATATATCATGCTAATCCTGGGAGAACAATTACCCTTTGATCAAGGGAGACAGTGATCTTTTTTCAGGCAGGACTTATATAATAGTTCATCTACTGGTCTGTGTGCTCTTCTCCCAGTTATTCCCCGTGTTTAAACATTGTGT